AAAAGCTTATAAATATTTAGTTAGCCACTTAGTTTTTAATTTAGCAGAACAACAAAGGTTTATTAGACAAATCACCATAATTGTCTTTCACTAAGAAAGTTCTTAAATACTTCCACTCTTGCAAGTTCCTTTTCATTTCTATACAACCCAGAATTATTAGGTACATATAACTGACAAAAGTTCTAATTGAACTAAAAACTAATTTCATTGTTTCTTCTGTAATTTGCACCTCTTTCTAATATCAGCTTTGTTCACAGTAAGAATATAATTTCATCTAAGCAGTAACTGGTGAGTAACTGGATACATCTCTCCTGATATGGGCTGGCACATCAGCTCTTTAGAAAGACCACTGTCAATCAGACCATGCTGGAGCTCAGTGAGGATGTACATGGACACATAAATGAAAAATACATCAATATATTTTCTGGAAGAACCAGCTGAAGTTTTAGGAAAAAGTCTGTATAAAAAAGGCTTGCTTATATCTCTGTTTTTGCCAGTGGCAGGAAAAGAGGATAAGGATTACCATATTTAAGGTATAGCCTTAAAAAACCTATCTGGCAATTGTTTTATAAAATCACAAATTTGTTGTTATGATTACAAGTGTTTGAGTTAAAAATACTTTTCATGTAAGGATGCAAGTGTTGAGTTTACATCCCTCCATTTAACAGGTTGAACTAGAAGCCAGGGAGTGCTTTACAGACCACCTGCCACTGCAGAGTGTTCAGGGACTGCTGGAGTCCCACAAATCCCAGCTGCACAGTGCTCCTTCTGCAAAGCTGTTGGAACCTTGGAACAGAAAGGTAATCAGCAAAGATTGGCTGATGAGCCAAGGCTGCAGCAAAGAACCAGGTTGGTTTGGTGCTTTCTTTTTCTCCAGTGTCAGTGGTGCTTTTTGTGTTTTGCCATTTTGGTTGTTGGTCTGTATGTCAGTAATTCACACACAGAGATGCTGTATGTGAATTTAAATTTTAATGATATTAAATTTTGATAAATCAAAATATCTATTCATGCCTCTGCAGAGCTATAGGGAAAAATACTGCATGATTCTCCATACAACATAGACAACACATTCTTCTTTACTCTGGGCTGAATTAAAGATTTGCATCCTTACCCACAGGGAAATTAGTGGTTCAAGAAGAGTGAGGGGATACACACTCTTAGCAGAACTAATGTCTGTCTGGAAATAAACAGACTTGGGTAAACTTGGGAATGGGACAAAGGAAAGTACAGCATAAGGGCCAAATCAACAGAGAGTTCCTGTGGCATCAGTACAGGTGATAGGAGGAGCAAAGCCTTCCCAAAGAAAGAAAGGAGCCTGGCAACTGCAGCAACCCCCCAAAGCCCAAACAAATGAGAAAGGAGAGGTGAGCTTTTCTCTCAATATAGCATATATTATTACATTGAAATTACCATAGCAATAAAGCTACAACTATTTATTATAGCATGAAGAGCTAATCAAAAGCAACCATCAGAGGCAGCTGAACCCTGATGAACACAGGGTTGGAACTGGATGATCTTTAAGGTCCTTTTCAACTCAAACCATTCTGTAATTCTATGAACACTCAGCCTCATAAAGTATACTTGTTATTTTCCAGTGAATAATAAAGGGCTTAGGTAGAACATTACCATGGCAAGGTACCAAAACAAGAGCTGTATCTAGTTTTAGATGATTTCCTGTAAAATTTCTGATGTTGAAGGTGACTCAAAACACTGCACAACCAATCAACATTGTATGAGGGTAATTGGAAAGTTGAAAATACAAGAAATTTCTAGAGTTTAAAAACAGTAGAGGTGATTTTAAAAACCAGAGTGGGTTATTTTTTCTGTTTCACCCTCAAAGGGTAATTTAACATTCTGAAAACTATTCTCTGGCAGAATCACAATTTCATAAAGTCTTGGAATATAAACTTTTATATGGTAGCTGGTGGCATGGGTATGGGTCAGTTTGAAATACCATCACCTTGTGAACCTATGTGCCTGTTCTTTTGTTTGTATGCTGGATTCAAGTGACTGCCTGACTTGGACCTGGTGAGAATTCTGCAAGAATTTTGGAATATTATAGAATTTTTTAGAGATTCTTCACCTGGGAAATTGATCAGAGAATTATCTATTTACATCCATGTGAGTTTGTTCCACATCATCATCATCTGCAACCTACACGAGACCAGAAACCCAGGTTGTTGTAGGAAAGACAAGCCATTTCTTCCTCTTCAGGACTTTTCTAAATCTGTTATTTATGATACAGGACCATTTTGCATGTTATGTTTGTCATACCTTTTTATTAATCTTGTCTTTAACATTGGCACTATTAAAAAAAATGTAAAAATTTAAGTCTCTTTCCCTAGGAGCCCACACATTTACTGTAGATACAGACAAAATCAGGAACTTCTACAACCTCATAAAAACATTCTCTTCTTTGTTAACTGCATCACTGCTATGGACTAATACAGCAATAGATGTTAAATGAAACATTTCTAATGATGCAACGTGTATTGAAACACATCATCTGCATCCCACTGTGATTTTAGTTGCATTGCAGAAAAAATGAATGCAGTGGTGGCACAGGCACCAGAAAGTTATTAGGAGGCAGAGCTCTGCCACCTTTCTTAGGTACTTGTGGATGATACCTGAACTCCCTTGCAGCTGGAATAAACAATAAATGTCCAAAAAGAACATGAGAATCAGTAAGGCCTCAATGTTTACATATAAGCACAATTCCTGAAAACACATCAACCTCTGGAAATATTGGTCTGTCTACTGATTCTGTGTACTTTTAAATTATTTTCACCTGTTATTTTCATTTTCTCAGAAGTGTTTGTAGGACAGGAAACATTCATTACCAGTGGTATTTCCTCCATTAGAAATAGAATCTATTATGTCTGTTTAGGTAAATCCCTTTCCTTCCTATTTCACTTCACAGCTGTTTACTGTTCAGGGCTTATTGCATTTTGGCTGTTGCAGCACATCTGCCCCAGTACAGGAAGCTATGAAGTAATTCCTTTTGTCATCTTGGGCAGTATGTGCAAAGGATCTTATGTTTGGTATTGGGGTTTTTTTAATTGCAGAAGTAATGCAAGACTGCAAACTTTGCATCCCAACTTGCTCAGCTTTTGGCATTGTCTGACCCATTTACAAAAATAATCACACTCTTCAGAACCACATTTCAATCCTTCCTCCCTGGCATATGGGACTTGAAGTCAAGCTTTTCTGCTGTTACTTTAGAAAAACAAGCAAAGTTTCTTCATATCCTCGCCCTTAACGTGTCCCCGGTGTTTCAGGTGTGCTGCGTTCTCCTTCGGAGGGACAGCAGGTGACCGAGTGGCTTTGCAGCGACATCTCCTGGCCTGACTCCCCTGAACAGTGTCAGAGATTCCTCCTCCAGGGTGGAGAAGGTCTCATGTGGGTTGAGTCGAATATTTCACACAGAGAAGAGGTAGGATGCCATTAGAAAACCAAGTCATTAACTCTGTTTAATCAGATAAGTGACACTGTCAACATGATTGTCAATTGTACAAAAGATAAGTTAGAAATTGTTTTCATATGCTAAAAAGAATATAGATATTTGTCATTTTTCCAAAGGCTGCAAAGTTTGGACAGTATGGTAAGATGGACATCCAAGTTTGCTGTTGCAAACATCTAATCACACATTATCTAGTGCACAAATGTAAAAAAGACATAATTTATCTCTGGCTAAAGTGAAAAAATAGAATATGGAAATACTTCCCCTCCTCGTGTTTAGCCACTCACCATCTAAACAGCTTCATACCTCTTTGGGTTTCAGTACTTGAGGCCACACAAACTAAACTAAGGGGAGAGAATCTAAAGTAGCAACATACAGGAAGTCCACAATCTATCAACCCTCAGTTTCAGAACTAGATTTTGTCAAAAATATTTGTGTGTCCTCTGGAGTAAAGAAGAGTTCTTTAGCAGGGAGAGTGGAAGTGTACTGACTTCCAAAGTCTGCATGGAAAACCAGTGTAGGACCAAACCCCTAAAAAGGGAACAAGGATAAGTCACACAGGAATCACAATAAATGTTGGGGGTTTGTCCTTAGTTAAAAGCTCTTTTTCATATCCTTGTTTGCTGCGAGATAATGACTCATCAGCAGCAGAAGTGAGGGGAAACCATATTCTTCCAGAGAACAGGGAGCTCTGAGGCTAAACTGATGGCCTCTTCCAAAGTGAAGAACACTGAACGTGCTGCTGAGGGAAGGGCTTTCCATGGCTTGCCCAGGTGAGCCAGTGGGAAGGGTGCTCTGGCAGAGGCTGGCAGGAACCAGGTGGCTTTGATCCTGATGTCTGCAGGGAATGTCACTGTCCCAGTGACTGGCCTTATTGGCTGAGGCTGTGACTCATCTCAGCTTGCAGTCATGAAAGCAAATTCCAGCCCTGGTGATAAGAGTGCCTTGGAATAATTAAAATTGCTGTCACACATGGTATTTTCCTGTTCAATCTGTGTATCTTTATAAGCTGTATATCCTTGCCAGGCACTTAGAAAGGCTTAGTTCTGGAGCAGCAATGGATTAACTCAAATTGCTGAGTCTAGGGTATATTTCTCTACATTCTGTAGGCAGTTCCATACTGTCCCAATGAATTCCATATGAATGTTCTGTATAAATTTTGTTCAACAGAAGCAGAAGTCGGCTGTGTTTGGAAGCTGAGGCCTTTCCATATAGTTTCTCAGTTGCCCACTGGACACACATACAGTGCACTCTGAGTCTCTGACAGCTTTCAGTGATAACCCTGGACTTCAGTGAAAAATTCAGTTTACCTGTTAACTCTACTGGTATTCTTTTCAATGAATTGCACTTGAAAGTAATTGCACTAACCTGTAGCTGCACTTCTGAATGCCTTTCAGATAGAACACTTCCCCATGCTGCATTGGCAACTTACTTCCTTCAGCCTCAGCCTTACAGAGGTTTCAGGCTGTAGCTTCTTCTCATACACTTTGTAACTAGAGGTTCCTCGATTATTAAAAACATGTTGTGTCCTGGACTTAGCTCAGCTTTTCTGGAAAGCAATCATCTGGAAGTCAGCCTGGGATCCAGCTGTGTCACATGGATTTTCCCTGCTTTCTGAAACCATCTGTTCCACTGCTTGGGAAGTTTCTGGGTCCTGGGAGCAGGGACTGTCCAGGGTGTCACCGCTGCTGTTGCAGTGCAGAGGGGAGGCCATGTCAGAGGGCTGCTCTGAGGGTTTTCCTGGAGCAGGAGGCAGGGGCACGGACAGAGGGACATTCATCATGTAGAACACATTACCCAGACGTCTGGACACCTTTAAAGACAAAGGCACAATTGCAGCAATTACTTCTTCCTGTTAAAGCCATTAAACATCAAGCCTGACTCTGGTGCAGCAGCACCAGGGACGTCCCAGGCATCCCAAAGGGTTATCAAATTCCTGTGAAAAAAATCTTTTCCATTTTCACTCTCTTATATTTTTCTAGGCCCAGGTTGTGGAAGGAGCTTGTCAATACCCAACTTAGGACTGTTGGGCCTGACAGCAGGATCCTCCTGCTCCCAAGGTGCTGCAGCACCCAGGGACAGAGGTGAGGCAAACTGCCAGCCAGGAGTGGGACAGGTGGCTGGAATGAGAGGAGAGTGAGAGAGTACAAGGGGTTAAAGAAAATGAAAAGAACCATCAACAGAAACACAGAGAGAGCTGATACTAGTGGATGAAATTAAGGGCAGAAAACTGCAAACAGAGAGGGACAGTCTGCTCCTGAAAAATGTATGGTTATATTCCTTACTGTCTCCCTGTGTGCCGTGGTAACATACAGGGAAGCAAAAAAAAAAAAAAAAAAACTTTGTTGGAGTAAATTATTTTCTCCCAATATTGTGGCAGTTACCAGTGAAAAAAAAAGTGCTTTATTTTGAAAAGTGCTAAATTTTGAAAAAATTCCCTTCTGTCATCTTCTGGCATTTTCATGTCTCTGTGACTCATCATCTTGGCATACATTTAATGGTCATACCTGAGAGCGGATTTTTAATGCTGGTCCAAGTTTTAATCCCATTGTATCCAGGAGATGTTCCTCTGTTAGCAGTGGAAGGGTTTCTCCATCAATAGCATGGTCTTTAAATATCTGATGAAATGATAAAACACATCATAATGTGCTAAAATAGACTTTGGTTGTTATTTTTCATGCATAACCCTGAGGCGTAAACAAAGGCATAAAAAGAAGAAATAATAATTTTACTGTTTTATCTTTGTATTTATCTCCTAACTGCACAAAGAAAATTACTATTATATTTGTAACTTTGGGACAATCAACTACCCTCCCGCATTTACATTTGCTTGCTCATATTTAAATCTAGATGGTCCTAAAAACCTGAAAATGTGGTGAATGTTAATAATCACCTGGGCATAATCTGAGCAGCCTGGGAGGCTGACAATGAAGTTGTGCACATCATCAACTGTCCACTTGCGAATGTCTTCGACAGAAGAAAGGTCTTCTCCATTCAGGATCAGGCCATGGGCTCCTTTGAGGAGGAAACACAGAAGTTATCTTGGTAGAATTTTGCTGGCATGTCAGGAGAAAATGAATGTTATCATAGAATTTTTACACCTTTTCAGAACCTAATATATTAACAGCAGGGTGTAGTCACTTGCAGATAGAGGAGTCCTAGACACAAAATCACCAGGTAATGAGCAGAACCTGGTTCTGAAGGGTTTTTTTTTGGTGGCTTCTTTTGTTTACTGCTGGCACTGTACCTACCAGTCGCTACACATAAAATCATGCTGCAAGACTTCCTCTAATGAGTGCATTATCCAGTGCTTTTTCTTCTTTAGAGTCTACTGTTACTTTAATTTCACTAATATTTCAGTAGAATGGATCCAAGCCTTTGCTAGTCTATACTGCCTACTGTGAGTTAGGACATATGGGAAAGTTGTGGGCTGAAGAGAGAGGCTAACTCACAACTTCTTTCAGCAATTTTGTTTATTTTAATTGAAACTCCTTTTTAAAACATGAACTGAATACAGATATTACTGTTTGCAGCATTAGAACTGTAGTTGCAATGACTCTACCCTACCAAAAATTCACTTAAAACAGAGGGAAGAATTGAGAGACCAAATCAATAAAACCAGATTATATCAACATGTCACTCTAATCTGGAGATCTGACAAACCTGAAGGTAGCAATGGGTTGTTGGGCACTGGAAATCCATATGGTAAAGCTGAGAATGGGATTGCAGAAGGGTACAGGTACTTGTCATCAAAAGCAGCACAGGAGCTGTTGGCTTCCTTCTCATTTGTGTTGCTGCAGCTGGTCGTTTCGGTAGGAATTTCGTGAGTAGCACAGTTTTTTCTCAAGCCTTGTTCAAACTCTTTGCAGTTCTTGGCAACTGCAGCTGGCTCAGGCTGGTTTTTGCTCTGCTCATGTTTGTTTGGTGCCTCCACCTCTACTTCCTTCTTGTCTTCTTTCTCATCTTCCATTGCAGCTGAGGCAGAGTCTGTGGATTTGTCATCAGCCTGGTTCTTTGTGCCGTTGGCGCTGCCCTCGGCAGTTTTGTGATTTCCAGCTCTCCTCCCTGGGCGACGCCCCCTCTCCCTTTGCAGGGTGCTGACTGGCGGGTACGGGCTGCTTGCCATGAGCATGGTGTTGCCATGGATCTCATCCAGGGTGGTACGATGGACATACAGGTCGTTGGCAAGGTGCCCTTCAGGGAGTCTGTGTCTGCCACGGAAAGCCATGGGACTCGCTGGCATCCCATGGTAAAGGAAAGGGGCTTCCAGGCCCAGGAGTCCTTTCCGATGGGCTTTCTCCATTTCCTTTTGCTGAAAGATAGCACTCATCTCCATTTCCATTCTAAGAGACACACAGAGCAGGAGCAGTTAGGGCAGCTCGGTTCCTTCATCACCTTTTTTTTATTCAGCAGCAGAATAAAACTCAGATAAACGATCAGGCAAGAGTACTGCTTGTCTTGTCTCTCCCCTACCTTGTGAGAGGGTACAAACTGCAAATGGAATGGCAAACCTGGCTGTATTTAGTGTACTGTCAGATACAGATAGTAAGCTAAAAGAAATGGAAAACATATCTTCCATGTGATGGCTCTGGAAAATGCTTCAGACAAAAAAGTATTACTTGCACATTGGCAATCCAGACATGAGGATTATATTCACATTTGGAAAACAGTCTCCAGAGTCATAAGGGTTGAAGACTAAAGAAAAGAATTGATTTATTATCAATTTATTTAAGTGATTTATTATCACTCAAAAATTTGTAGTGAAAACTGCAGAATTCTAGTGATATTGTAAATTATAAAGAACAAGAATGACATCTATCGATACCATGGAACCTGTTATCTCTGGAACCTGTGCATCTATTCAGAGAAAGCTAATGCTAAGTCTCTTGAGTAACCCTCCACTGTGCCTGGCACCTGAGCATGGTTCTGAGAGTGTGAAAGGGTGAGATCCTGGTGGGAAGTGTTCAGCTGATCTCCTTCCTTCTGGATGAATGCTCCAGAGTCTGTGCCAGCTTCCTGCTCCTGTAATAGTGGATGGGAGGGTTTGCCAGTGGGATACAGAGAATACATGTATTTGTATTGTATTTGTAATAGTAGTATTTGTCCCTGCTGTACCAACCTTTGCTGGCATCAGCTTCCTCTGGAGCCAGGTCAGTGATCAAACAGAAAGGTAAAGATCCTAGAGGGGCTTTGAGGAACTTTCAGTGGGATTTCTGCATCTTTGGAAAAGACCCTGTGAAGTAAAGCACTTTAAAGTGCATCAAGATAGCTTTCTTAACACTGCAATGAGTATAACAGGTCACAGACAAGTCTGTGAGAGTCTGATCTTCAGAAGAGTGTAAAATTGTCAGGAAAACAGTTTGGGTAAAAACTATCTATAAGGATTTTTGGTATGAGGAGGAATTATTTGATCACATCATTCAGGTTTATTTCTCTGCTTTGTTTTAATCTTTGAAACAACCTCCAACTTATTGATTTTCTGCTTTCAGAGATACAAAAGAAGTGTTTTGTCTATGTACAGTGTCCTTGTACATTTTGCCTGATTGTCGTTACTCCCACCCAGCTCTTGAGTTGACAATAAACAGCAGAAAGCATTACATTCCTGTCTCCTCCTCCAGCTGAGATAGTCTGTTCCTGTCAGGACTAGCAAACAGAGCTTTAGGATGAGGTAGAGTCCCTTGGAGAACAAGGACTTGAAGCCAGGTGCTCAGCAGCACAGCTGCCCCAAGTGCAGGACATTGTTAACACCTGGTTTCTGGAACAGCTGAAAGGAGCAAGTGCAGCCCTAAAGGTGACCTGTGCTGCAGAGAGCCGTGTGGGCATGGTGGAAATTGTGAGGGTGGCTAAAAACTGGGGTAAAAGGTTTTTAAGGTGTAGGTGAGCTCTTTCATGTTGGAGTTTTGCTGTTTGATGGGCTGAGGGAAGAGCCTGAACAGGTAGGACCAGCTCTGATGTGGCTGTGGGTGTATGAGATGGCCATGTTTGCTGCTTGTTATTTCACTTGTTTTTCTCAGGGTTTTTGCCATGTGGCAAGAGCTATAGGAAATGCATTGCTGATGCAAATCTTGTGCTTGGAGGAGTTCAGTAATCAAGTTTTGCTGACATAAGAGTTTAAAACATTTCTGTCATAATAATTTTCCAGTGAATGTACAGAACTTGGCTGTCTTTGCTCTTACTCTCACTGTGTGAGGGGCACTAGCACCGAGTAGTGCAGCCCAGTGCAGGAGTGGCTGAGGTTAGAGCTCCTCTGTGGAATTGGTGTGGCCATGAGGGAGGGCACTACTGCTCTCTTAACCAGCTACTGACTACACTGAAATGGCTACAAATAACTGGACTTCCTACAGTCACTCTGCCATTCCAGCTCTTTGGTCAAACTAGGAAAGCTGCCCACCCTGCTAGGGTGGAGACAGCTGCTCGTCCCAAGGGCCCAGCTACAGGCTTAAAGTGTTGTGTGTGATATCACACAGCTGCAAAGTTTGAATTTGTTTCTGAACTTTTGTAACTTCAGGGTGTTTGGATCTGCAGTTCAAGGGCTGTGGCTGCAGCTTGTTCTTTTCTTTAACTAAGCTAAGGGGTTTGTTTATTTTTGTGGCATTATTTTAAGAATAAAAGCAAAATAGGGCAAGCAGAAAGTCAGTAGCTTTAGGCCTTAATTGATAGTCAGGGGCCTTCTCCTTCTTTGGGTGACTTGAAAAACAATCTCAATCACTTTGCTGCTTTAATCCTGGCATTCACCTCAGAGCAAAGCTTGCTATTGATTACCTGGCAATATTTTGCTTCTGAACCAGTTCTTGTCTTCTGGCCACAGCTTCCATGGATTCTTGTTGCAGAAAGCTGTATCCTTAGAGGGAAGGGGAATAAAAACATCTTTAAAATTCACTGGTTTCCTCATGCAAATGCACAACCCCCAAAGCAATGCAGAGACACTTTAAAAAACTTTGTAAGTCTTCAACTGTGGGCTTCACCAGGAAGGTGATAGGATTTCAAGTTAAATCCTATTTGTTGTCATTGTTTTGGTGGCAACATGTAGCAAGAACATGAAGTCCATTATCAGGTGTTTTCAGGGTCAGATCTGTAGTTAGGATACCTGCCATTAACCACAAAGGGTGGTTTTATTTGGTGACATATGCCTTTGAATACATATGACTGCTCAGAAAATAATAGCCCTCAGTTGAGAAAAGCAAACCTGCTCCTTCAAGACTGCTTTCAGCCTGGAGGCTGTGTAATTTTAAATTACATTTCCTCTTGAGATCCATGTTAAGGCAGGGAAAGAAGCTGAAATCAGAATTTTTTTCTTGGTGTGTTGATGTGACATTAAAAATGCATTCACTCATCTCAAAGAAAAACTCTTGAGCTCATTTTGTATAAAGTAATTTTTTGTGCAGCATGACATGAGTGTCATAGTTGTGATGTCCAGCCTTCCCCTTGGAGCTGTGCCCTCTAATTTTGAGCCTTTATTAAAAAGGACTTGTATTTGCCCTACATGAATTAAGTGGCATGTGGTATTACCATTAGAGCATATGTTCAGTATAAAGCAGCCAATATTCATATGAGAGCAAGAGAAAAATGTAGTGTAAAAGTGTTGATGAGGAGCTATTTTTTTAGCTACAGTATTTTGTTTGGGTGTGACAATGCTTGGAAAATACAAAAAGAAAAGGGGGGAACAAAAACATACAAAAACTCTGAAAACTGTATTTAACAAAGGCTAGAATGGACATGCTTAGACCTAAACTGGCACAGGCTGCCTCTTTTTAATGAGACTGTTTTTCTAAATAAAATAAACTGTTACTGACACTACCTATAAACCTATGGAAAACTAGCAGATGCAGCTGGCTTTCTGATCCACATGGTCCCACTTCTCAGGATGCAGAGGGTGCTCTGTTACCTGGGCCTGGGTAGACACGGTTGGACAGCAGGTTTGGCATGTTGGGGTGCTGCGGGACTGTGGGTCCCAGGTGGGATGCTATGTGGATTTGTCTGGGGTCACCTGAAGCCATCATTTCAGTTGAAGGTAGCAGATCTCTGAGAGGAAAAAAACCCATTCAGATACGCAGAGGAGATCGTTTAGTTAATAATAACCAAAGGTCTTTACAAGCCCAGGGACAGCACACACAGAGCGGGCCTGGGTAGACACGGTTGGACAGCAGGTTTGGCATGTTGGGGTGCTGCGGGACTGTGGGTCCCAGGTGGGATGCTATGTGGATTTGTCTGGGGTCACCTGAAGCCATCATTTCAGTTGAAGGTAGCAGATCTCTGAGAGGAAAAAAACCCATTCAGATACGCAGAGGAGATCGTTTAGTTAATAATAACCAAATAATAACCAAATAATAACCCCAGGGACAGCACACACAGAGCCATTAACTGCAGTGCTGGAACAGGAATTGGTGCCCGGTACCTGTCCACCAGCCGCGGCTCAAACTGGGCGGGGATCGCCTGCATCCTCTGCTGGCCCGGCCCCATCAGCTGCGGGTTTACTGCCATCAGCTGGTTCCTCATCAGCATCTCCTGCCGCTGCCGCAGCTCTGCAAGGCACACACAGTTCTGCTCTCAGTGGGGAAGTGATTCTGGCTACGGTATAACCTTACCAGAAAAAAATGTTTTGTTTTGTTTCCTCTAGTGCAATTCACACTTTTTTTTTTTTTTAATAGCAGCAACTGAAAACATGTTTTCCCTGACACCTGAACTACGTTGCTTAAGTAATGTAGATTTATTCAATCAAACTGCAGTAAAAAGAAATAGGATGTGCTCAGTCAAGTGTATCAAAGGACAAATTACAATGAATAATAATTTACATAGTACTGTGAAACAGAAAATAGCCATGGATGTTAAGTTCTTTGCTTGAGAGGGTTTTAATTTCAAATATGGGCTCATTTTGAGAAAAATCATACTAGGTGGAACCTGCATTGTCATGAGAAAGCAGCTCTAGAAAAAAAAGCCCACAATGGTGAGCCAGAACATCATAATGTCCAGCTGTGGCTTTTGTTCTGAGTTCTTGTGTGCCATTTACTTGTCTTCCAGATGCTCAGCATCTCTTAATCAAATACTGAATTCCAAGAGCCCTCTGTGTTAATTTTTTATTACCTTAAGCAAAATATTTCTGCAGTCACTCCTACGATAAATTTGAAATAACCTTTTAAAAACATCAAACCTGCTGCTGGCTGTTTCTTGTAGGCTGTAGATACCAGCAATGCTGTAAGCACGTGTGCAGTGGGGTTCTTGCTGCTCACCTCCTGCTGCCATGCCGCCTGCCAGCCGGTACAGGTGCTTTTCCTCCAGTGATCCCTGCTCCCCCAGCATGGACATCTTCCTCATGTGCTCCCGGGGAGTCATGCTGCAGGGAGACAGCAACAACTCTGCTGCTGCAAAGAGCTGAAGCAGCAGCACCAAAGAGAGGAATAAGACATTCAACAATGAGAAACAGAGAAGGTTGTGCAGGTGGTTTCCCAGCTAAGCAGGTCACAGCTGGACCCTTCCATGCCTGTGGGTTTTAGTGTTTTCCATGTGGAAACTTCCAGTTTTCAGGACAATGCAAATATTGCCCTTGCTTGCACCGAGTTGTTGGGTCCTACAAGACAAGGAAAATCAGGGTGCTGGAAAATAACACCTGCTCAAAAGGAGGTAATTAAGCCCAAGCCTTTGCCTTCAGCCCCTGGTGTGTCTGAGAGCAGTGATGTGCTCATACTTAGGAAGGCAGGTGTCTGGTTTAATTTCAGAATTGTAATAGTTTGGAGCCCTGTTTACTGTAAACTAAGTGAAGGAGATGGAAAGAAATTGTAGAAATTATCTATTCCAAATGATATCAGCCCCTTAAGTCTGCCAAATTGAAGTAAAACAGGTAAAAGAACATGTTTTGTAGTGATGAAAACAGTGATAAAATCAGTAAGACTCAGATTAATTATATGTTTATATTAATTATTAAATTAATATATGTAATTAATATATACATAATTAATAATTGTAAAAGAAGCAAGTCCTGTAACTTAGGTGTTAAAAAGCTATCCTGTATGGAATGCTTTGAGTTGAGGAGTTGGCAGAGGGAGCAGGCTGGCTCTGAAGGCAGCATCAAGAGTATCTGTATATTCATCTCACACTAGACTTGCACAGCAAATGGTTAGATTTTGAAATTTTTCAAAGTTGAATTTCCATTCCCATTTAGCTCTGATGAAATGGATTCTTTCTGTCTTCTGAAAGAAGGAAAATGTAATGCTGAAGTGTTCTCATCCTGCAGATAGAGAGTTACAGCTCCAGGAGTTCAGCCAGCATTTGGTAGAGGTAACAGTGAGGGAAATGCAAAGACAGGAGCACTGTTCCTTATCCAAAAATGAGATAAAAGCAAAGTCCTGTGTTTCATTACCCAAAAGTGAACAAGTGAGTGATTTCAGCCGTTTATACTGAAAGTAGCTGAACTTAGACCACACCACTGTTGTTCCCTCAAAATAACAAGTGCTTTACATTTGTAAGAATAGATGTTGGATTCTGTGCTGGCCAAGATTCAGATCTTCCTGGCAACAGACAAGTCTGTCAAATCCCAGACCAGCACCATGGCCTTTGTTCTTGACATTTCTATCTGAACATGTTTCCATTTCCTTTTTTTTAGGATACTTTAGACTTAAAGCGATTTAGGATGCTGGGTGCCTCATGAAGAGCATTTGAGCTGCCAAAGTGCTTCTGAGCTGCTAAAGCATTTTAAAGCTCAGGACTAAAGCGATTTAGTGCTGGACTAAACTTTTCAACAGCTCAAAAAATAGGTGGTAACTGGGATGGTTGTATTTGCCACCATATTGTTCAGTGAGCCATTTAGGTGTTTTTCTTTCTTGTATAGAGACTTTGTATTGAACACTCTGCAAAACAAACTGAAATGTTAAACTTCAGGCTGCCCTTCTTACAGCCTGGCCTTTGGCCTTTGTCTGGTGCACCTCACTAGAGAAACCTGGTCTGCCTGAAGATGTCAGTGCTTATTGCAGGAGCATTGGACTAGATGGCCTTAAAGGTCCCTTCCATTCCAAACTGTTCTGTGATTCTGTGAAGGTGCAAAGAAACCATGAGAGGTTCAGATAGCCATAACGGAAAAAAGACCCAGGAAATTTTCACCTTTTTATTCTAGTAAATCAGGGAAAAAATAAAATTAATAGCGAGTTTTAATACTGATGCAATTTTGTCTCTCAGATGACTGACAAGTTGTACCACTTTTGCATTTTAGGAACTGCTAGAATATGTCAGTATCCTGTCTAAATCAAAGTTGTGGATGTGTTTGGTTTTGTTTTTTGCCTGGAGAAATGTCCCTGTGTGGAAAAAAGGCACACAAGTAAATGACACTTTCTTCCTTAGGCCTTCCTAGAACTTCTACGCTTCCCCCTAAAATCACACCAGTGACTAAAATTATATGATGCAACTTTGAACTGTAGAATCGTGGAAGACCTGGTGGGAAAAGAGCCATCTGTTGTGGCCCAAATCCCTCCTGTAGGATCCCATATACCCTGCCTGTTCTAACAGACATCCATCCAAAAGCAAGCAGCAGTAAGTGGTTAGAAACCAGTAGCACCAGTATTACTGTGCTGTTCTCTGTGTAGTCTGTTGTTCCCAAAATAAGTTTGGTTTTGTGTTGGATGTGAAGGATGATACAGTGGCTGTTGACAGGCAGTCTCACACTGCCTTCTTTCAGAGATGAAGCAGAAACTATGTAAGAACTTTCTTTAAAACTCCTATTTAAATATTATGTTTTCTTTTAAATGTTGGCATTTTTCCCAGAATGTAGGGTACTGATTACAGCAGCATCCACAGCAAAGTGATCCATATTTACTGATAATTATTATCCACCAGATGACCAAGATTCACAGACCACCATTGCAGACAACAAGCATCAGATAAAAAACTTATCCTTGCAAAGGCAGACAGTGTGGTCTTTTGTTTTCACATGGAAAAGATACAGTATTGAAAAACTCATGGAATAATATGATTTAAAAGTTCTTTGGTATCTTCTTCCACTGAAGCTGGAGCTTACTGCTTCCACTGACCCAGTTTTTGAATCATCATAAGCCAAAAGGAAAGTTTGATTCCTTATTGAGGTTTTCACTGGAGTTGCTTCATGAAATCATTCTGGTGTTTTCATTAGTGTGCCAATCAATCCTATCTAACTTATATCGAATTTCTTCTCAGATACATAAAAATAACTCTGGTATTTGTGATATGAAGTTGAGATGTTATTTCCGCCAGAATTCTAATCTCTTTCTGCAAGTTGAATGGCAAAATATCCATATGGACCAAACTTAGTTTAAAGGACATGTTTTGTGTGTGTGTGTGTTGTCTGTATTAAATTACTTCTTTATTTTCCTGAATTTCCTGTTAGTGAAGTATTGAAACAGTCAGGTGGGATAAATAGCTTAATAACATAATATAAAGATTTGTATGTAACTCTGTGTCAGGAAGAAGTACTGAACCTGACTAATCCATGTTATTCCATTTGGAAAAACACCTTTTTCAGTTACTTAGCTGGGGTTCTGACCTGCAGGTCAAATTTAGGGTAGTTTAGGTTCATACTATTTTCATAACAACTCACATATTAGAAACCACACCAGCTGAGGAGGATCTGAGAGGGAACAGGGAAAGTACACTTCTGATACATTTATTAGCTGGGATTTGAGAGGAGCTCAAAATCTGGCATCAGGGTTCATATAAATTCATACACACCAGCTGTCCAGCGTTAGATTCATATATGGCTCTGCTCTGATCCTATTGCACAAATCCTGGCTGTACAGCACATTACAGGGATGAAGACAAGTTAATCTCTGCCTTTAGAGTCTTACCCTTAGCAAACCCTTCTTGGCAGCAGGCAGAACCACTCACCCAGGACTAATTCTGTCTCAATTTATTAGACAAGAAGTGGCAAGACACGAACTTCATGAACCAGAAGCATTTGCAAATCTAATCATGCAACAGTTTAAAAATGTCTGTAGCAGTCTATGTCTTGATGTTATCAATTGCATTGGCAAAATATGGTTTAGTCGTATATAATATAGACTTGTTGGAAGACTGGGTTTTTTTAGTTAAATGCATTGAGATTTCATCTACAAATACTGCTTTTATTTACATCAAACACATGGAATTAGCATTCTTTAAAATCCATGTTTAGTGAACTACAGCAGTGTCTCCACAGACTGGAAGAAGTTGAGTATTGTTTAAAATGCTCAGGTAAATTTGTGTCAGCTGAGTCAATCAAACACGCAATATGAACATGCATTCATGCTTATGAGAGAAACTTATGAATGAAGACATAAGTAATCTCATTTGCATTTCCATTGGCTTCCCTTTTAGAAAATGACCTGATTGTTTGAGAAATCAGGTGCTGTTCTAAAAAATAGATAAATATTCCAATATTATTAATAGTCTTAATGTTATTAGTTATTGGATTAAGGGTTCTTGCTCTGAATCTATGCTGAGGGTCATAAAACTAGAGATTGTAATTGTTCCAGAATCCACAATCAGCAAAATAAATAACTTTTGGAAAGGAAAACAGTAGTTATACTATCATTATGTCATACAGGAGCATGAAATATATCTTCTTAATTGGAGTGAGGTGCCATTGGAGAGGCTGTGGGGCTAAATTCTAATCCTAGATGTGTGGGCACAGACTGCTCAGAGACTGAGATTAGAGTGTAATCCTAAAACTGGATTGAGAACGATACATTCCCTAAAGAAAGGAAAATAACTCTATTTATACTGTGTGTGTCAGGCAGCAGAGTTTGTGTTGCATGCCTTCACACTGGCTGGGAGACACGGACCTGCCCGTTCTTGAGCCAGCTGATTGGTAAAATTGTGAGCAGCAAGTCACTCTTTTTTTTAAAACATGCTGTTCTCAGCCAGTAGTCAAGGCTTAGTGCTGGCAAGCTCAATCCTTCAGGAACTAAGCTGGGTTCACAACTAAAGCTCATCTTGTTCCCCTTGGAATCGCTGTGGGCAAGGGGAGACTGAGGCAGCGCTCAGGCTGAGGCATGGGCTAAACCCAGAGGTGGAGATGCTTTGTGCTGAGCACAAATACACAGAGAGGGTCTGCAAAGGCTACGAGGTGACAGAGGCAGATGGTGGAGGAAAAGGGAGCCAAATTCCTGCTGTTTGATGTGGCACTGGAGGCACAGAGATCCAGGACAGTCCACAGCTGAGGTGGGAACTGTGCCGGGCGCTTCTCCCTCTCAGCTCGGCGCTGTGACCGCAGGACTGCTCTCTGCACAGCACAAGGCTGAGATTTATTTGTGTTTGTGGCAGCACACAAAGACGCCTCTGGGATCACTCTGAGGGCTTTAACAACTCCTGTTAAAAAACTAAGTGTAATAGCT